AGTTCCCTATATTAATATCACTTTGTAGACGGTTACTGTTTCTAGGTTTCTTATATTAATTCCATCTTTGTTCCTGGTTTAAATTCCCTATATTAATATCACTTTGTAGACGGTTACTGTTTCTAGGTTGCTTATATTAATTCCATCTTTGTTCCTGGTTATGGTCCCTGGTTTAAGTTTCCTGTATTAATATCACCTTGTAGAAGGTTACTGTTTCTAAGTTTTCTGTATTAATCTCACCTGTGTTCCTGGTTATGGTCTTTAAGCTCCCTGCGTTAATCTCAGGCGCTGTCTGTTTGAATAAAAACTAAAGCTACTCTTATGTTAAACTACCTAGAGTAATTTAGTTTCGCTAAATGAAAAGGAGGAGGTCTCATAATCAGGATGCTATGTTCGATATAATTTGAGAAAGCAATTGTTTATATTCTATTATTTCTCTTCAATACAAACATTACTTGCTAACATACCCAACAATTTACTAATCACGGCGTCTTTTGCTTCGGGAAACAAGCCATTGTAAACGTGATCTGTTGGTTTAACCTTCACGCTTTATCAAGTTAGACGAATGCTTCAACCTCATTTATCTAGTGTGAGAACGCGTGTTTATCTGAAATCGATGCATATGTCATTGGCGGACTTCGAAGACGAAATAACCTGAGGCACACCTGAGTAGCTATATCTACATAATTTATAAACACAGTAAATAGTGTTATATCTCATTTATTCCTAATCCTTTCATATACTCCAGGTGCTTTATGTAACTCCTCGAAGTTTCTTGCCGGCAGGTGGCGGCATAATCCCACCAGAATGGGAAAGACTAATTTAGGCATAACACGCAGGGAGGAAACAGGGTGTGGTTTTTCAGTTTAAGTCAGAATCAATAATAAGACTTATCACACTAGATACAATAAAATTTGTTTGTCACTGTTTTTAGTGTGGTAGAAAAGTAATGTAAACAGACTTTCAATCAGTTGCTTTTTTCTCTACTAGGTTATTACTGAACTGAATCGCTGCTTTTCCGTAAAACAAAGTTTTTAGTGGTATTAACAAGATGTGTTTACAAACGATTAATCACATTTTATGGAAACAGCTTAGTTATGTTAATGTATCGTTTCACGGGTCACTTATGACTGGAGAATAATATCGCGGTAGCTTTCGAGGGAGGATATTCGTATAGTTAGGTTGTGAAACAACGTGGATTCAAATAACGCAATATTTCACAAAATGGGTCTTAAATGTTCTCTATTAATGTTGGAAAACTCGCACAGCAAAGTATTTAGAACAACAGCGGGGCTTGAAAATAACTTCTTCAACCAACTCGAAGCCACGCCCTTATCTAAAATGTGGAGGATATTGGATAGGGAAATAAACTCTCTGACCAAGAAAGTTGTTGAGATGAAACGTGACATATCTCCCAGGGCCTTTAACAAAATAACAAACAAGAAATTAAGCACAGAAAAAATTACTAGCTTCCAATCACACCTCGAAATCAACGTTTGTTTTCTTGAAAAATATGACCAAAGAAACAGGAATTATAGGAACGTTATTTAACCTCTCAAGCCCCATACTGTATTTAGCTCCAAAAACTTTTATAGTCTAAGAAGCGAACATTTATGTACGGCAGAGGGTCTGAGGACAGTTTACCAAGATGTGTGGTTTACGATTGACCTCGATTTCCTTCGTGTAATCTTTTTACAATAGAAACTGCGAAGTCATGCAGAAGTACATAATCATGCTCATCAGAATGAGCGCCATCTGTAATATAGAAAGTAGTACTAAGGGCAGTACGAGACCTGAAACATCGTTCTTAAGCAATTATGACTAACTGTTAGTTCAATGTTTGATATGTTTGTTAGCCTAGTAGAAAATCAAATACACTAATACAGCTAAAGTTCTATCACAGTAATATGATATTTTAACTGAGCTGGAGATTCTTCATAGTGCCCCCAGTGGTACAGCGGTATGTCTGCGGACTTACAACGCTAGAAACCAGGTTTCGATACCCGTGGTGGGCAGAGCACAGATATCCCTTGTGTAGCTTTGTGCATAATTAAAAACAAACAAACAATTCTTCATAGCAAAAATGCCTACTAATGTAGCTAAAGATTTATCATAATAACAAGGCATGCTGGCATAGACGAAGATATACCATAGCAATGTGTTGTTTTCAAAAACATTTAGATTCGCCAAAGTAATACTGCAACATTAAAAATTTTAAATCTGCCATATATAATACACTGACATATTTACCCTACCAACGAAGTACGCTAATACAACTGAATAACTACTATATATAATGTAATAACATATTTCAAGATTTATCACAGCAATGAAGTACACTAATACGATTGATATCATACCACATTAATACTGTATACCAGCACAGCAGTAAAATGTTATTATAAGATGAACATATACTAAAACAGAGGGAGATTTACCTTGGTAACATGATATATTTACACAGATGGGAGCCTACTCTGGTAACATGGCACACCATCATGGCTGAAGATCAACCATAACAACACAGTACAAGTATTCCTAAACATTCTCAGCACAACGTTTGTAGAATATTCTTAACGTTGTATGAGCCCACACACCCAATGGATTTATAGATACTGAATATCTTTCTTTTATTACAACAGCATATTAAACAATTAAATAAAAAATTCATTTTCAAAGCAACACTATTGTGTATTTTGTGTATTTGTTACAGCCCTGAATCTATTCTATAACCCCCAGTTTCTGAACCCCTGACATAGTTTACTCTCACAGCTAGAAGCCTAGTGCAGTAGTGTGGCACACTAACACAGCCGAAGATTTACCATGGTAACATAGTATACACTCACAGCTGAAAACCTAGTGTAGTAGTATGGCACACTAAAACAGCTAAAGATCTACCATGGTTACACAGTACACTCTCACAGCTGGAAGCCTAATGTGGTAGCATGTAACAGTAACACAGTGAGCCTTGTGTAGTAGTATGGCACACTAACCCAGCCGAAGATCTACAGCGGTAACGTGGTATACTCTCAGAACTGGAAGAATAATGTACTAGCATAGTACACTAACACAGCTGAAGATCTACCATGGTAACATAGTATACTCTCAGAACTGGAAGTCTAGTGTAGTAGTATGGGACGCTAAAATAACCTAAGATCTAGCATGGTAACGTAGTCTATTGTCACAGCTTGGAGCCTAGTGTAGTAGCATGACACACTAACACACCTGAAGATCTACCATGGTAACATAGTATACTCTCAGAACTGGAAGTCTAGTGTAGTAGTATGGTACGCTAAAATAACCTAAGATCTAGCATGGTAACGTAGTCTATTGTCACAGCTTGGAGCCTAGTGTAGTAGCATGACACACTAACACACCTGAAGATCTACCATGGTAACATAGTATACTCTCAGAACTGGAAGTCTAGTGTAGTAGCATGGAATGCTAAAATAACCGAATATCCCCCATGGTAACACAGTATACTCTCAGAGCTGGAAGCCTAGTGTAGTAACATGGCACACTAACAGAGCTAAAGATCTACCATGGTTGCATAGTACACACTCACAGCTGGAAGCCTAATGTAGTAGCATGCCACTCAATCACAGCTGAATATCTACCATGGTAACACAGTGTAGTAATAAAACTGAAACACGATATCGTGGTTTTTGGATCTTCTATTTTCTGTTATTCATAGAAAATAGCTATTTTTGTTCTGCTATTTTTATAAAATTATTGTTCTTACTTGTACTTCAATTTTTTTAAGATATTGTTACATTTTATAAATTGGATATCATGAGCAGTCATAAAGGGAGTTAGGAACATTTTGCGTTTCCTTCTTCAATCACCTTTAAAAGTGTAGCAGTCAATAATATGTAGTGTAACTCCCCAAACAATTATCTATGAGTATGAGCAATAACAACAGCAAATCCATATAGGCTGTTTGTGTGGCCGTCAATGTGCAATAAAAACGTATTGAGAGTGTGAAAATAAACAGTCAAGAAGACCTATCAAATGTGGGGAGTCCTTTGAAGCTCACTTGGCTGGAATTATCTGAATAATAAATTTTGCAATTAGGTTTTTAGGAAAAAAGCCAATAATCTAATAAAATTACTTGAGTACCAACCTATAAAGAAACATATTTAATTCTTTTTATTTCAGTGTAAATTCTCATAAGGTTAATATTCATTTTTACAATATATATCCCAAAATGCTTACTTTTTCTAAAAATTAGACTAAGCGATGTAACGCAAGATAGTTGATATCGTTATTCTTTTATTTATTACAATATCAAGCGTTAATTAAACCAAATAAAACATTCATGATGTATGATAAAACTTTGTGTAATTAATTACATAATTTTGTTGTTATTGTTATTTGTCTGATGATGTCACATTAATATATATATATATATATATGTGTGTGTGTGTGTGTGTGTAGAAACTATGGCAACAGTTAAAACCATGTACATGATTTTATTGATGTTTAGATTAGCATAATATAAATTAATTGTTCTTTACGTTTTAAATTGCAAAATTTGTTGAATCAGTCATTTTTGTCTTCGTCCAATGAAGTTGCAACTAAATTAAATTAACACAAAGTACTGAATTGTACAATGAAGTCGTTTTACGAGAACAGGAATATTTGTAAATTAGTTTCACATTCTCATAATGGTAAATTTAATTTGCCACATCTTATCCTAAAGTGGTTAAATCTTCTGGTATGTTTTCACAAATAAACACGACTACATGATAATTTTATATCTTTTGTCTCGTGTCGATGAGACGTGCTAAAGTATTGTGATTTGCTTCAAATTCAAACGTGCACGATATTTAAAGTTAGCGAAAGCAAAGTATTTCTGTTTTCATGTATATCGTTATGCATAAAGTGAATCGGAAAATATAATGAAAAAAATGTAGTATCAAATATTAGCTGATCACTTGAAATTATTGGAAATGTGTTCGTTTATATGTAAATAAAATGAAACACGAGGAAACGTATACTATTGTTGACTTCTTTTATCACCTTATATGTGCATTTAATGAAAATGAACGTTACAAGTTGTAAAATGTTTGGCAAAATATTCACACTTTAAGAAAAAATCACGACAGTGAAACTCAGATGTAAATGTTTGGTTACTTACCTTCTTTTTTTTTTTTTCACACGAAATTCATAATGACCTAATCTCTAGTATATACTGTAATGATTAAAGAAGTAATGCATTATTAATCACTATAAATATAACTTGAATAACATGTTTTATAATATAGGTGATGCATAGCTCTCCTCAGTGATACGAGTGTAAACGATTTGAATAAGGTTCGCGATGACTGGTCGTCCAAGAAGAGTTTTCTGTTAGGTCCGTGCCAGCATCACCAACGGTAACAGAAGTATTAAGGGATTTGTTTTTAGTAAACTAGCGAATCCTCCAGGCATGCAAGCTTCCATGTCAAACGTGTAGGCGGCGCAATGCTCGTGAATTAGAGGACCAGATATCCTTTCAAGATGACGTTTGAAGAAAGTCCCTGCCTCATGACCGCAGTCAGCTGAGACGTAGGCGTACCTACACCGGACGAACTCTGTAAAGGCACTAGGGTTGAGAGAAGATGCAGAAAGGGGAAGAAAAATGAATATCAAATTTAAAGAAAACGTCTTATGAGAAATCAACAAATATGTATATATATAGAGAGAGACAAGTTAACATACAATGTTTGTAAGTAAGCACAAATCTACACAATGGGCTATCTGTGCTCTGCCCACCACAGTTAACATACACACATGAAGCTAAATAAATTACTTCAAGCATACACCTATCTCACAAAATATTAAACAATTTCAGCTATTACGTAGTTTGCAAAATCAAAGAAATACAACAACATGAGTGTTTTTAATTGGAAGACCTTGTTGAATAGTTCCCAACAGAATGCTTCTGCCTGGTTTAGGAGATGATGTTTCGGACTCTGTGCTTAGTTCTGTGTTGGGACTTCATGAAGAACTCAACACAGAGTCTGAAACGTCGTTTCAAAAACCAAACAGAAGTCAGAAGTGGTCCATATGAAATTATTCAACCCGTAATACAATTCCTAAAGCTTTCTTTAAAAGAACGAATACCTCCCTTTATCCAATGCCTTCCTGAAAACGTTCGAGTTATCGGTATATTTGATTGTGATTTATTTACAGTTATATTCTACGTCTACTTTACAGACATTTCGAACATATTTTTTGAAGACATTATCACTAATGAAATAAAACTATTGCTTTTATTCAATATAAATTATAGCTGTTAATAAATAGTTCAACTAACTGATATAAAAGACAGCGTGTGTCACGTCACGCTGAATTTCTCTTGACTTCTCGAAATAGGAGGAGTCATAAAAGCGAAAATGCATTTAACCAGATAGAATAGTTCGATTATTGTCTGCCCATTACGATTTTAGTGACGGAGATGCAAGGAGGTCATGAGGGTGGTGTGCCTTATAAGTGTAATGAGTGTTGGTATAATAAGCCTAAAGTAAAAACGTAGTGTGGGATCACCTAGCCTAGAGCCAGGTGCATAGAATTCATCATGAAAGTAAAAATATCAATTCAATTTTAAGCCTAAATCGTTTCTGAATATAACCATTTTCTGTTATATCACCAACGTTTTTAATTTAAAAACCAACAAATCGTTTTATCAACGGAGACGTTGAATTAAGAAGTCAACAAATATTTTCCAGTTTTGTTGTATATACATTTAATTTTATACTTTCAGTACAGAGACTAACAACAATATTAGGCTATACTTTTGTTGCTAAGCAACGTGACATAAAAGCAATTGTTAGAATATAGTGTTACCAAAACGCACTGGTTTTTCTCTATCTTAGAAGTTGTTAATCTATATACTACTAAAACTCTGAGATTGTTTGTTTGTGTGCTTGTCTCTAACTAGATACAGCAAAAAAGCTGCACAATAGCGCCATATTTGTAATGAAATGAGAATAGAAACAGAATAA